GGATAAATCATGTACTCTTCTTTGTTTTGATTGCCACAATGCCCTCTGAGTACAGCTGCACAATAAGAAACACTCACCTTGACCTTTGTCTTCTTTATATCATTAAACTCAACAAAGAGATTCTTGCTGCTAATCATGTGATTACTACATCCATTGTCAACAAACCAAATATCATTTCCTTTGTCTTCAGTCATAGCTGGATGACACTCATAAAAAAGACTAGCATCTTTGTCTTCTTTTTCTACATAGTTTGCAACTTGGTTGAGTTTCACATTATAATCTTTTTTGTATATAGCCAAAAGGACCACATCTAGGACACTTTGGTTTCCTTTTAAACAAATAAGTATCATCAGAATGATTAAAATGCTTGAAATGCACTGTTCTATTCCTTTCACATCCATTGTAAGTGCTTGAAATGAACTCTTTGGTTTCCTTTTAATCTACTATCTTCCTTTCACATCCACTGTAAGTGCTTGAAATGCACTCTCAACTAAGTATTTAGCATGCCTATCTAATCTATGATCAAGGGATTGAAGTGAACTCTTTAACTCTCGAATAGACAAGGAACTCAAATCTTTAGTTTCCTCAATGACATTCACAATAGAATTATATTATTGAGGTAAAATAATCAATATTTTCTCAACAATTCGTCTATCACTTAACTTCTCACCATATGATTTCATTTTATTTATAACATCAGTGAGTTTAGTCAAGTAATCTTTCAACAATTCATTTTCCTTCATCCTAGCATGTTCAAAGTCTCTTCTAAGACTGTGCAATTTTACAGACCTTACCTTTTCTGCACCTCTTTTTTTTTTTTTCTCCAAGACATCCCACGCATCCTTCAATTTCATCTCGTTCGAGACCCTCGGAAAGATTTCATCTGAGAGGCATTTCTAAATGAAGTAGAGAGCTTTAGCATCCTTCTTGAGATTTTCTTCTAAAAGTGCATTCTCTGCTGTAGATAGCTCCACACCTTCCTTCGGTTCAACAACCCTAACACTGACAAATGACCATAGCCCAAAAGTTGTGAATAAGGTCCTCATCTTTACTCTCCAATATCATAATTTTCACCATCAAAGATTGGAGATGAGAGATTGTTATCTTTGTTGCTGCTATTTTCCATTGATTCCTTCGAATTTGAAAGTTAGGGTTTCTAAGAAATAGAACCCCAAATTGAAGAACACAAGGTAACTCCCATAACTTAGTTAATCCAACAAAGCTCTGATACCATGTTGGATCTTTTGTATCAAGCTAGAATATTTGCTCATGTAACAACCCGTCTCCAATTATTACAAGTTTTTTAATTTTAAAATGTGAATTTATGAAAATGCCCTTCGAGGCAAAAATGTTTACTTTTGTTGACCGCATCGTCGTGTCAAGTAAGATTTATTCCCTTGGCGTAGCCCCGTAGTACTTGTCGTTATGAACACATAGGCGCAAGCGAAATTGAATTTGAAACTGAAACGAAGATTTTAAGGGATTCCAAATGTAAGGGCATTTTGGTAATTTTTCAAGTAGAGATATTTTCCACCTTAGACCACCTCTGAGCTAACACGTGGCAGTTCCTTCCCCAATCTTCTGGAACTTTCTCCCTCTCATTTCTCTCCCAGACTTCTCTCCCTATCTCTGGAGCTCCCTCTCTTTCTCTCTCATCCTTTATCTTGGCAACCCTCTCCCCAAGTCACCTACTCTGGCCACTATTACAGCCTTGCTCGGTGACACCCTATCATTTCTCTCAACTTTTGCTCTCTAATACACCCATATCTCCTTTCTCCTTTCTCCTCTCTCTTTGCAATCACTGGCGCCAAACCACGCTTATGTCACCACGCAACTTCGATGACGGCGTCAAGATTCCCTCTTCCCCATGAACTAACACCATATATGTTTCCTCTCCCTTTCTCGTCACGGTCAACTCTATAGCAATGCTAACGTGGCAGAGTCGCCACTTTCTCCGTCGAGTTAACTTAGAACCCAAAAACCAAGGTGAGCTTGACTAAATAAGAATTTCCTCAGCTTTTGGTGATATTCTCTTGCTATATGGGTGGATTTTGGGTTGAAGATCAAGGGTTTTAACCTTGTTAGTATATGTCCTTCGTTTTCTAGTTTTTCGGCGAGGGTCCGTTGACTTTCGAGCAATTTTACCATTAAGTCCAGCCACAACGTGAGACCAAGAGGTATAATCTCATTCCTTATCTCCCTACCTTCATTTTGGCTTTTAAATTGTTGAAAATAATGTAGATTTAACCCCAATCGAAGCAGAGGAAGTTTCCCGACCACCTTCCTTATGTTTCCTAACCAAAAGTCCAGTTTTCTTCTTCGATGGGTCTGGTGACCCGCGAGCTAATTCGGGTCAACCAGACCCGCAACTTTAAATCAGGCCCAAATCTAATTTGTATCCGGCCTAATCCACAAACTCATTTACCCAGGCCCAATTCGTTAACCTTTAGCTTAACCTGGTCCATTCCTTTATGCCCATATCCAAACTGGATCCAACTCAGCCCAAACCAGCATCTTGGCCCAACCCGACGACCCTAACCGGATCCTACCCGTTGACCTGACCCGTTGATCGTTGATCATCAACGTTGACTTTTGGGTTAACTTTTTCGAATTTCGACTAGGACCCCTCCTAGGCTACTTTCGACGTTCTGATTCCAAATTCGCCGTCTGTTTTCCCAAATTCTAATGTTTTTGTAAAATTTTACTAAATGGTCCCTAATTGTGGTTAGGTGCATCGGTGGAAAGTGACTTCATCCTCGCTAGCTTGAGCGGTTCCTGGGCAACAAAATATCATGAGTGGACCCCTTCTAAACTTACATATTTTTATAAAAATATTAGCCTAGCATGCATTTCACACTTCATGGTTTGAATATGTTTTCTATATTGTTTTCCAAATTTCTATATTTACAATTTACGAGATAGATATGATTTATCTCACTTACGTTTTGCAAAAGGTTATGAATTTTGGAATTTTCATATATGGAATTCTATGGATTTACAAATCTGAATTATCATGGATATATGTGTTGAGGTTTTGAGCTCCGGATTTGATGTGAGATTTTGAGATATGTTTTCGGTGCTATCTAGTGGGCTATCATACAACACATCCACCCAACACAGGTATTATGACGTTTATGGCCATAGGACACAGTTGATGAGGAATGAGATGAGATATTATGATATACCCCCAGCTTCACTGCCGAAAGCAGTGTCGAACAGCTTCACTAGCCACAGCTAGTGTCGATGTGTGATGTATATATTTTCTTCTCCAACGTTACCCGGAGTCGTATAGTTTCACCTTCGAGTGATGAGGCCTACCATGTTTCTTCACTGGTGTAACCCAGTGTCGTACAGCTTCACCTTTGGTGATGGACAGGTACTGCCTTCGAGCGACTATGATACCCCTAGAGAGTACAGTATTGACAAGATTTATGGATTTTCCTTCGGGTGATGATAGCACAATTATTGAGCATGGTTTTACTCATACTTGTTTTACGAATGGTTTCATAGCATGCTAGGGTTTTCAGAAAAAAAGACCCGTATGTAGTATATATATACGTTTTCAAAATAGGGGGTTAGTATGTTCATAAAGAAAATGATTTTCCTATTATTAGTATTATTATAAACTTAGGCATCTTCGAGTCTCCTCTGGGTAGGATCCATTCATCGGTTCGTACCTTTCTCTTATAATTCCTTCACATTATTTTTAAGTAGTTAAATGCTCTGAACACGGTTCTGCATTAGTGTATCTCTTTCTAAATACCTATTTTTAGTGGTATGCATGTTTTAAATGGCTTCGTCATCCTCAAGTGTCGGCAAGCACGTGTCTACCCTGATATTTAAGGATATCGGGATTGAGGCGTGTCAGCTCAAGATTTCATAAGAGATGTGTAAGGTTTGGATAAAAATGGAGAAGAGAATAACAAACTAAGTTTATGTGGAAAATAGTCCTTGAGCCAACGAGCCAACAAAACCAGAAGGTTGGCCTTTGTCTTCTTTGTTGATTTCAATGGAGAGATTTTTTTAGAGAGAGATTTTCTCTTCTATCAATACATTACCACATTCCTTAGCACACTTTCACCTACTTGTCTCCAACCGTGTTAGCTTTTCAAGACAAAGGAAAACACCAACGTGGGCCTTCACGAAGCCACACAAGTCATAATGTAATATCACACAAAATGACATTTGATGTTCTTATAATTACAACTGAATATTAATTACATTTAACAGGACTCTCATGCGCACAAGAAAATTGTACTGATATGTGTACACAATAACATAAGACGAGTTGAAGCAAAAAATTAAATCAAATAATTTTTATAACAAATATCATAGTTTAATAACTTGTTTGGGATACAAACTATCTGAAAACAACATGATACCCCACTCCACTTTATATAAGTATAAACATGAGAAGTAACACTGGGAAGAAATTAAGAGGCGAGCAGGAGCACACACCAGGACTCGACATCACGGAACATCAGAATTATGAGTAATTATATCGTCAAGATATATTATTATGGCGTTTCATAAACTACATGCCTGTTAAACGGTTTGAGTTTTGACCATATCCGTTCATATATATCAATCATCACACTTTGCCAAATTTAGAGCTCCTGACAGCAAGATTAATGGTGTAATATCAACAACTACATATCATAATCTAGTCGAAACAAGAACTTCGGTACTATCCTCATATCCTAACATGTCCAACTATTTATACATAAATATGGCAAAATTAACGAGGAGGTATAGAGTTTCAGAAACTAGAAAAATGAAGATTAGGTCAAGTTGTTGAAACTGCAGCCTGGCTTTGTTGCAGCTTGGAGCCTTTATAAACTTGGGACATTTTCGGATTTGAGATAACAAAGATATTCAAGGGATTTAAATCTTTCTGTAGTCATTCTTTTTGTTGTAGTGGATTTATAAAAGATTTGTGAGAATTGGTTTAATATTCTCTAACTACAAAGAGCTTTAAGCCGTCAAAACTTTGTAGAGTGATGGCTGGAGGAGCGTATGTTTGCGGCGGAGGAGGGTGCAGCTATGAAGGAGGTGTCACCATCTTTGTGATCTTCACTTGTGTGGTGGCTGCCATGGGTGGTCTCCTCTTCAGATATGATCCCGGAATCTCAGGTAATTAGTTCTGTAATTTTCTCTTTGTTTAAGAGAATTGAGAGCATTAAGAGAAACAACTACTAATCGGGTTTTGAATATCGTGCATATATGCAGGTGGAGTGACTTCAATGGAGTCGTTCTTGAGCAAGTTCTTCCCATTTGTGTTCCATAAAATGAAGAATGAGACTGCTAATCAAAACCAGTACTGCAAATTTGACAGCCAACTCCTCACATTGTTCACGTCTTGCCTCTACATTGCAGCCTTGGTTGCTTCCTTCTTTGCTTCATTAGTGACTAGGAAATTTGGCCGGAAAATCTCCATGTTTGTGGCAGGCCTTGTGTTTCTTCTTGGCTCTATCCTAAATGGTATTGCCAATAACATTATAGTTCTAATCATCGGTCGTCTCTTGCTTGGTATTGGTGTTGGATTTGCTAATCAGGTAATTATATCTTCTATCTTTAATTACACGTTTATTAAAACACACGAACCTTATAGTAATAACGCATTTGAAACAGCATTATGTAAGAGGTTATGTACCAACATATACCTCATAATGTGGTCTGTGTCAATTTTGCGTGAAAATATGACCTCTCTAGCATTCTTGAAACTTAGAGCTAGATTGGTAGCTAACTAATTCGAAATTGTCATGGTGATTTGCAGTCCGTACCAGTTTATCTAGCGGAAATGGCTCCAACAAAGATTAGAGGAGCATTGAACATGGGGCCCATCACCATTGGTATTCTAGTGGCAGGCCTTGTCAACTTTGGCACAGCCAAGGTCAAGGGCGGATATGGCTGGCGGGTCTCTCTTGCTCTAGCAGCCGTCCCTTCCTCGATGATGACTCTCGCCGCAATCTTTCTTCCCGACACTCCAAATTCCATCCTAGAAAGAGGTAACCCCGAGAAGGCTAAGAAAATGTTGAAAAAAATCCGCGGCACCGACAACGTTGATAATGAGTTCCAAGACCTTCTTGCTGCTACTGACGATGCCCAAAAAGTGGAAAACCAATGGACCAACATTACACAGCCGCGCTATAGGCCTCAACTCGTCATTTGCATTCTCGTTCCTTTCTTCCAGCAGCTCACCGGGATCAATGTAATCATGTTTTATGCACCTGTCCTTTTCATGACTTTGGGTTTTGGAGACGAAGCTTCCCTAATGTCCGCAGTCATCACCGGCGGTGTTAACATGGTTGCCACCTTGGTGTCCATTCTCGCAGTCGATAAGTTCGGAAGAAGGGTGTTGTTCCTTCAAGGTGGTGTGCAGATGATCCTGTGCCACGTACTTAAACGCATGATCAATTTCAGGAACACATGCCTGCTTTAATTTGTGAAGGACATTTTCTTACTAAACTTACATTCTAGATTGCTGTTGGGAGTGATGATAGGCATGAAGTTTGGTCTCAGCGGAGTCGGATCCTTTACAAAAACTGAAGCCAATTGGATCTTGTTCTCGATCTGTGCATATGTAGCAGCGTTTGCATGGTCCTGGGGTCCGTTAGGGTGGTTGGTACCGAGCGAGATCTGCCCTCTGGAGATCCGATCAGCCGGACGAACCATCAACGTCTCGGTGAACATGTTGTTCACTTTTATCATTGGCCAAGTCTTCCTCAGCATGCTTTGCCACTTAAAGTTTGGTCTCTTCTTTTTCTTTGCCGGTTTTGTGATCATTGTGACCATCTTCATCGCTTTCTTCCTGCCCAAGACGAAGAATGTTCCGATTGAAGAGATGAATAGAGTTTGGAAAGCTCACTGGTTCTGGGGCAAGTACATCCCTGATGAGGCTGTCAATTTTGGTAGGCAAGACAAAGTTGTAGTTTGATTGAGTAAATCACAGTGGGGGATTTGTAAAAAATCCAAGCATCTGGGTTCTGATATAACAACAAAAAGTTGACTAGGGAAAGAAACCAATCCCGATAGACAGACAATTAGGGGATATGGGGATGATATTTGTGAATCCCTTTGTTTTGTCCTACTCATTTTCGAGTTGTAAATCAATACGAATACACAACTCTTCTTTTTCAAACACAAATTATATGAGCATGTAGATCATATACAGTCGATAATCATCAACTTCGCAACTAATATACCGCCCTTTTTACATTCATGTGCGAACAGTCTAGATTCGGAGTAATCTTCCATATAATCACCCATCTAGGTGGAGAAGAAAAGAAGCGAAAATTGGAGGAGACAGAGTACTAATTCAACAAAATAAGGCAACATGTACTCAGAGGATAGTTTTCGAAAATTTACAGCTCAAATTATACAATCGAATGCAAGTATAATACACTATAAGAAACTGAAAAGAAAAAGAGGAAGGGATTACTCATATTACACAGATTGAACCTGATGGAATTTGGAATATCTTCAAATTTAATGGAACTGGAACTATGCAACTGACATTGACTCCAACAAAGCATCTACATACTCTTGAAGCTTCGCTTTTGTAATTGCGCCTTCTCTCCGACTTTCTGGAACTTCCTTTCCATTTTTGAAGAGAATCAAAGCCGGCAACCCATAAACTTTGTATTCTTCAATCAGTTTTGGGTTTGCATCATGATCTATCTTAACAACGGTTAACCTGTCTTTGTATTCCTGAGTGCAACAAATAAGCTTATATTTCAGAGAACTTCTTTAGTTTGGACAACAATAAAAGGCAAATTGATACCACATCTTGAAGGTGCTACTTGTCCTCCCTATCTCTTTACAACGTTTCCAAGTTCCAAAATGATCTTACATATTAAAAGACTATGATATCGCTTCTGTGTTTCTTGACCAACAAGAATTCAAAAATCGTATCTGGAAGAGAGACTACTAGAGTCGTTTTTGCGAATGCTTTGGAAAAGACTCAATGGGCTTCCAATTAACCAAAACCACTTCTACCAGTGTTTGACATAAATAACTGAAAACGCTTCTAGATTCTAAACGCACTAGTTGGAGCTTTATGGGGTCTTAACGAATCACTTCCAATTGCTTTTTCAGGCAACACTTGGATTTTTAATAAAAGTTTTGGTGTGCTTCTAGTAGGAAGCTCGTATGAGCAGAAGTGCTTATTATAGAAGGAATCCCAAATTGGTTAAACAGAAATTACCTACGGCCTATCACTTGCACATTATTACATTAGTTCAACTCCAAAGCATACAATATTAAACAGAAAAGTAAAGGCTCACACATAAATAAATAAATAAACAAAATTTTACCCAACTCCAAGTCTCCAACCAAACTTTTCTCTTGTGTGTTACTTGCGTAGATTCCATCAACCAATACCCCTTTGCATTTCTTCATTACATTTTGATCATACCCAATCAACTTCTTGAGCTAAATTTGTATTCCTACTAATTAATACAATTTAAGTTGGAAATTAAGCATTGTATTTCTTGTATTCTTTCTCTAAAAATATGTAATTTCCCTTCAAAATTTACTACATACAAACAATGACTATGCTCCAAAAAGTCGGAGAGAGAGAGAGAGAGAGGGAAAGAGACAGGAACCTGAGCGAGCCATTCCATAGCAGGGGAGATTAAGCGGCAAGGACCGCACCAACTGGCGACGAACTCGACGAGAACCGGACGGTCCGAGTTAAGAACCGAATCCTGGAACTGGGTCTCGTCAATTTCCTGAATCCCAGCACTCGAAGCAATTGAAAACTTGGGAACTGTGCGAACTGTGCGAACTGCACGAGTTGAAGAAGAATAGTTTCGAAAGCCCACTTGTCTTATTCGGCTTCCAGAACCGTAGAAGAAGCCGGAGAAGAGCTTGTTAGAGTAAGAGCTTGAAGTAATTGTACGAACCGGTGGGAGTGAAGCTACTGGGATGGATAGTAATGCCGATGTGGAGACGACGGTGTCCATGTTCTGTCGAATGAGGAGATAGAGTCGAGGGAGGGCAGGGACGAAAAGAGTCTGGGTTTTGAGTGAAGGGGAAAAGCCGTGTCTGTGTCACTTGGCGTGGGAGGTTATTGGCCACGAAACGAGATACAAAATGTTGTGCCATCCACTGTGGATGGGTCGGAAAAAGCATTTTTGTGCTAAATTTTATCATCTAGCTCCCATTTCACTTTCATCTTTTTTCAATTAAAAACGGATTTAGCATCTCTTCTTTGGTGAGGAAAATTTTAAAGTCGCTCTTCAAATCACGTGGTTGTGCAGTCACACGCATCTAATTGAGACCTTTATATTGAAATATATTCAACTGGCTTTATTTTGTGACAAAATGGCCTCATAAGACCACCCGTACAAAAGAACTTGCCGTTTGATGAAGATCAAACTAGCCAAGGCAAACTGTAGTTGTTGGTTTGATTTTTATCATTAAAAACTCAAATGGTTTAGAAATCGAACCAAACTTTTAGTTGACACCAAAACTATTACCACACTAATTATCATTTAATAGTTTGGTTTGGTTCTTTACCAATAATACCGTTGAAACCGAACTAAATCATTGATAATCGGTTTGATTTGGTTGGTTTAAGCCTAGTCCAACACAAATAAAAAAAGTTCAACATTCAAGAGTTTTAATCTTTTAAACATTCACACATCTTTCACATTCCAATTCAATCAAAAGATAAAGTTTTCCAAAACATAATTATTTATCAAGTCAAATAAAACTATGTTTCAATTTAAAAATTCACATACTACCAAACGATTAATTAATCATAACCTTACATAAGCATAAAATAATAATTATTAAGCTTATATTATGTTGAGACGTAAACTACATATAAATCTCCAAAATGTTTAAAATAAATAAATTAAGAATTGAATACACTTTTTGTTCAGTTCGGTTTTAACCAAAAGTAAATCAGTTTGGTTTTGTTTGATTTTTAAATTGTTCTCCTAGTCAAAAGCAAATCCAATGGATGAACATGATTCAGACCGATCTGTTTGATCAGTTCGATCGGTTTGATGACCACTCCTCGTTTTGATCTTCTTTTATTTGAATGGAGAATTTCAAAGTGTATTTAGCCAATATGACCACGCCCACGATTGCTAAGAATGTTAAAAATTTATAAAATGATATGGTTTTTCCTATAAAATTATTTGGAAAGTGACTTCTAAAAACCATTTTTCTCTCCTAAACCCTAGTAGTATTCATCTTCACTTGAAAATGAGAGGTCTTAAGTTCGAATCTGATAGATGGAGAATTCGATACCAAATTAGGTTACCTATTATGTGGCTTAGCTGAACTCCTCCTCCTCTTAGTGTAAGAATATTGATGTATTCAAAACAAAACAAAAATTCAAATAAGAGACGATTCTAGTGGAAGACGAAAACAATCCAAAATAGAAGGATTACATTAATGGGCCAAGATAACCAAAAACGAGACAACTCCTTCCAGAATCCAGACCAGCCCAGATAATGCTGGGCTCATCAAAATATCATCAACCCAAATACCACAGCCGTAAATGAAACAAAACAAATTAATACGAGCGAAGCATTATACCCAGCAGATTAGTACACATGGATGCTAACTGATAGCACAACCTTATTACCAACCTAAGAAGACTCATGTGTATGCAGTGGTGATGGGGATGGTTGTTTGAGGTGGAGTAGCTGTGATCGTGGCCTGGAAATCTCTGATTTCTATATGTTTGTTAATTTTCTTGCATAGTTGATGAAGAAACTCACATTGACGGGAGGAGAGACTATCAAGGTCGCTTATGGTGAGCTCGTTGAAGGATGCAGTGATTAGATTGCCTTGGTGGTTTTGCCTGTATTTTTGAGGTGGCTAATCTGAGCGCGATTTCTTGCAGGCATGAAAAGTATTTGACCCAATACAGAGCAATTTTTGTTGAGATCTGCAAGATTGGAAGTGATGAAGTACTGCATGAAAAAGAAGCAAGACCTAGAAAGGGCAAAAGAGGGACAGAATCTTCTGAGAATGAAGCAGCTCCTGCAGGCAACGAGACTGTCAAGCAAGTTTGCTGCTTAGTTTGCTCAACTGAAGTAGGTGTAATCGATGAAGACGAAGTTTATCATTTCTTCAATGTTCTTCCGAGCGAGTCTTGACCTGCTAGCACTTGAGCTAACCCGTGAGCTTATGCACACAAATAGAGCTGCTACTATTTACACGGTCTGCTCTTATTCGGATTCAACTTGCTAAGGTCGAAAGGTGAGTGCAGAAATCACTACTCCATGCATTTTTTCGCAACAAAATAAGAAATAAAAATCACAGGATGAAGCAAATTTAGGAAACTCGGTTAACATTCTCTTGATATATACGTGACATGTTAAAACTCTGGTCAAAATATTAATAGATTGATAACTTAATAGTTTTTGCTAGATTTTTTTTTTTTTTTTTGAGCAAAATCTTTATAAGTGGTTTTTTACACTCAAGTTTCATCTCTGGACAAGCATCACTTTTGTTAAAATGAAAAATGCTTTTATACCCATATATTAAACTGTCCCAAAGTGCTTATACCTACTCCAACTCTTGGAGTAAAACTTAAACTTTAGGATTTAAACCTACCCCAACTTGCTCCAACCCTTGGGGCAAATATAAGTTTTAACAAAACTTTTTTGGGGCAAATTTAGCACAGGATTCCTCTTGAGTTAGTAGGGTTGGCCCACCATATATATGTATTTTTTTGTAGTTTTATATATATAAACTCATTGAATCCAACAGTTAAGATCTAATATGATCAAATCTAATGGTAAAAAAAATTCTAACGGTCCAAATTTAAATGCAACGGCTAAAGTAATTAAAAAAATTTCTTTTATGTGTGGCATATTCTTTCATAGTGTTCCTCGAGTTTCATGGTGTCGGTTTAGTGATTTTTTAATATTTTTTGGAATCTAAATATTTTTAAGTTAAAATGTTCATAAAATTAATTTAGGATAGTCTACATTATTATTTTTTTTTAAAGTTACTTTAAGAAAAAAAAAATCTAAATTCATTCTTTAATAATTTTGGGCTAAAAATTTAACCCATAAGGGTTGGAGGAAAAAAAATTGTTTATAGGTTAAAACCTAAATTTTTTGGGTTAAAAATTTTAGGTTTTAACTCAAGGGTTAGAGATGGTCCTAGTGATTTAAAAAAAAAAAAAAAAAAACACAATTATTTTTTTAGACACCCGTAAAATTTTGAAATGGCAACGTGCTAACCAATGGTTGTATGGTGTCCTAGGTTGGATAATCTGAGTTTCCTAGGGTGGTAACAAGGCTTTAGATGGTTAGGGTATCTAGAGGAAGGTCATGGAAAACACTCAGGCTGCAAAGGTGATGTTTCTTGAGGTTTCAAGGATATTTGCACTTAGAGAAAGATTTCCCTAGCTTGGTGCAGCACAATCTTCTCACGTTCTCTCTTTGGGTTTGAACCTTTGTGTTATCATGCCTCTCTCTAATGGCTTATGATATCTCTTTTTGTAGGTGAATGATTCTCTTTTAGGGTTCCTAAGGAATCTTTATTTGTGGCTTGGTCTTCCCTTTTCTTTCTCTCTAGTTCTTTTTCCATTTCCTTTTTGGTGCAAGACAGTTAGGTGTCCTGGGTCTTGTGAAGCCTATTCTGGACCTTCTTCCAAAAGGGTTGTTTTCCTGAGTCAGACTTCCACAGGCACTTCTAGTAACGTGTCTCCTAGCTTTCAAGCGTTTGTCTTCTGCATGAGCTAGGAAGGGAAAGTCATCCTTTCTCTTCATTAAATGTAGTACTGGAAATTTTTCCCGAAAATCCTAAACCAAACTAAAAAAATTCCAATCCCATATCGAAAAATTCCCAAACCAATAATACCGAAATTTTTGGGATCCATACCAAACTGAAAATATATATGTATATTTATTTTGGTTGCACGCATATTGAATGTTGAATTTAAGTAATTTGAGAGTAAACTATATTAGAAATAGAAATATGAAATTAAGTAGTTTGGAACGTCAATTTGACTTAGAATGATTTGATATTTCAATTGGTAAGAAATTTCAAATTGGTAATAGGTAAAAAAACTTAAATTTCAATAGATATGAAATTGGGCAACAAAATTTTAAGCCAAGGGCCCAAATTTTATCCCACAACCCGAAAATCTCAAATTTATGCCCAAAACCCAATTCCAATACATCCTGAAATATGGAAAACATTTTGAGAATCCCGAAAATTGGGAATACCGAAATTTTGGTTTGAAATTGGTCTTCAAATTCCAGTCCCCAATATTTTTGGTTTGGGATCCCATATCGAACCACCCGTAATTAAAAGCATACTATGTTGGACCTTCACGTAACTTTATAGCTTAGAGTTCAGTTCATTCCTAAATAAGTTGGTTAGCTTGCTAGGGAAAGGAGGAAACTAAGCTGGTTCTCTCTCAAACTTTTCCCATGTAGATGGGCTTGGCTCTTTGAGCTCCCAAGCAACCTAAAGTCTTTTATAATTGACTCTATATAGGCCCAATGCATTTCTATAACCATCTACACCACAAGTCACTTGACAAGCCCGGGCATGTGACTTGGGCTTATTTTAGTATCAATAATGATTAGCATGATAAAACTTGGCGTGACGAATATGCATGCGTTTGCATGAGCGTGTTGTGATTTACACAAATGCATGGTTTAACGTAGCATGACATGATTACAAATATAACCCCTTCTCGATTCCTAATTGTGGCATGTATTTTGGGCTTGGCTTAAGGCTTGTATGATAATTGAGCATTGAGATTTGATTGGGCTTGCATGTGATATTTTTGGACCTCAACAAAGAGCATGGCCCTTATTTGGATCTAATTATGGCAATTAAGTCGAGATATCTGCGATATGATGGGAAGGGAGAATGGGTATCTAAAGAAAATGAAAATTGGGTGTTGAGAGGAAAACAAATTAATAAAAAGTGAAAAAGGGTATTTTTTAGAAGTTTAGAAAATTATTTTGGGCGTCTAAAAAATTGTGCAGAAGTAAATTAGGTGTCTAAATAAACAAGAGTGTTTAAAGATGAACCACTCAATCCTTAATGTTTTGTGCAACTAGGAGTCACAGGACAGGAATGCTGGGCCGCAG